GAAAAGCAGCTCCTCGGGGCGGGCGCGGGAGGCGGCGGGGCGCGGCGCTGCGCCCTGTTGAGCCCCTTTCTTTGTAAAGGCTTACCGCTGATGGACTTGCAAACGCAGCTGTGCTCGGTCGGTCGCAGGTCCCTTATTAAAAACTTTACAAGTCTTCATCTTAAAATGTACGAATAATTGCACTGTGCATCAGGATTACACGTATCTAGCTCCTGCATACCATTCTGTCAGTAGGTCTTAAACGCTGCAGGCAAGAGGTAAAAGTTATTTCGCAGGTGAGGAAGGAGGCACAGGAATACACCAACCATAATTGGACTAAAAGTCTTCTACAGACATGATATGGAAAGAATGTGCATTTTCCTTAAGAGCTTAGTGCCATTTACGACTGATATTCACTTAGTTCTACTTTTTGTTGTTATTTCTGCGTTTGTTTTAAAAGGCCGATTCCGAGCTGTGAGGTGGCTTCCTGCAAACCTGCTCCAGCCTTATGGTCCTTTTACATTGAAATACATTAATTCTTGGGACTGGTAGGTGCTACTGCACTATAAACCTTATAAACAAAGGTACTTTTGAAAGTCCTTCCTAGCTTAGCTGTTTTCACACTGAGATCAGGCATCTGACAGCAGAAACTTTTTTTGAGACAGGAATAGGTCTCTCTAATTGTATGCTTTGACTATAAAATAGCTGTTTGAAAGCTGTATTTAGGTACACTTTGCTCAAAATAGATGTTTTTATGGCTCTAGGATATAACCTAATCAATTTAGGTAAGATCCTGAAACCGTAGTTTGCTGTCAAAGGGAATCGAGTTGAAAATTTGAAGACATGATTTAGCAATGTTTTTACTATATCAGTGTTTATGGGTTAGAGGACCTACAAATGGACTTCACAATGTATAGCAACTGACTTTTTGTCTTATTGACGTTTCTTTAATTTAATTTGTTAATTAAAAAGAGTGAAATAATCACTATTTGGCTCTCTGCTCTGAGCTTTTGAGAAACAGTATTCCATTCTAGAGGTTCGTTTGTTTTGAGGATTGGTTAATGGGCTCTCAACATTTTAACAATCTTTTTCTGGGGATTATCTCTTTACAAGCTTAAACGGAAGAGATGATAGCCTTGCCAAGAGGGAAAGGAGGAAGATAAACTGATGGGCAAGTTGAAATGCAAAGAAGAATTTCCTTACAGGAATGTTTTTTAAATATTCTGTTATACTTTATTATTGGAGTCTGGAAGATACTCTTCCTTCTTCTAAGACTAAGCAATACCGAGGCATGTAAACAAAGTAGTAAGGTTGCTTATCAAGGTCTTTTGAAACTTCTCATAACCCAAACAATCAATGCACATTTAAAAACTGAGGAGTAGGTTTTATGAGAAACCTAGGTTGTAAAACATTAGGAAGCACCCTGAAACAAGCCTGTAGTCCTCGTCAGCCAGTCTTTGAAACTTAAAATTAGGGCAGGGTTTTGGAAGAACATTGATAGTCTTTCGCATGCACCGAAACCTTTTGCCTTGGCAATATAGGTGGACTCTTCTGGCATGCTGTTCATGAAAACAGAATGCTCATGGAATTCTTCTAAGGATGGGAACAGCCATACTTCCTTTTGCAACATCCATGTTTTGCTGCAGTATGATGACCTTTGGAAAAGAATTCTTTTATATGACTGCTCTTTTTACATCTTGCTGTTACTTTAACAAAACAGAGGGTAATCTGTACAGGGAGTAGGAAATATGAAGCTAAGTAAAAAAAAAAAAAAAAAAAAGAAAGATTTATTTTTACAGTTAAGTAAACGTCAACCAGGCTTACTTTTATGGCTTGCACTACTAATGTCTTTTGCTCTTGAAAAGAACAGGCTTATTTTTAGATTGAAAATTCTCTGAATCATTTTGTTAGGTGAGTTATGAAAAATTAGGAGAGAAGGATTTTGGTCCTGTTTTTATCTTTTTCTCAATTATAGTAACACTGTCAGAAGAGATTGTGAAGTGCTGGTAAGTAAGGGCTGTTTAACATCACAGAAGAGCTATCACTGAAGTCTTGTTTTGGTTCAGAGATTTCTGATAGAGATGTTAAACACCCAGTACAACTGATCAGATGTATTAAACTGAAGATCTTAAGATCTGCACGCATGCAGTTTGCATTATTAAAAACCTCTCTGCTTATATCTTCATGGTAAAAAGGAAAAATGCATGTCTGTGGAAGAACTTAGCTGTTACTTTACATAAATTTATGACAGAAAATGCAGTATGCTTCTAGCATTGTACAGTAACTCTCTAAGAGAAATGTAAATTATCTGGTTTTGTTCTGTATCTGGAGAACATATATATCGCACATCTCTTAAAATTTGCTCTTCGTGGGGCTTATAGGCACTTAACAATGTGGAAAAATGGGCACAAAGCAGATTCTTAATTTTAGAAGAGGTAAAATTGTTTCGGTTATCGCTTTCTGTAGGGGTAGGAGTTAGTGTTTTATTGCATGTTCCTGAGCTCTTCCACTTGTCTTCTCCCCCTCAGAAACAAATTGCCCTAATTACAAAATAGCATGCTTCTCCCATAGTAATTCATTTGTGCTTCTGCTGTTTTAATGAACAGAATGAATGTGTAAGTACAATGACATGAATTGTATAAATCACATTGTATTCCAAGTACAGTGTGGTACATGCCAGTTGATTTAGTAGATGAGAAGGCATTTAAGAATGAAACTATCAACTTCTAAATGTACTTAAACATCAAAACAAACTTTCACTTTGGGAAGGGAAATAGCAGCAAGTAATGTCATTATGCATTACAGCTTTAACATAATCCTAAATCCTCTCTAAAGCTCTTATTCCATTAAAATAAAAGAATGGGCTATTTAGTCTTTGCCTTGGATGATGTCAGCATTGTTGACTAGCTTTAAAGGTTGTGGCTCCTAGTAAAGATTTGTGTAGTGTGAGAACTTGTGAATTGGGACTTCATTTCACATAGGATGATAGAGTCACTGGATTTGAAGACTACAGTGTTCCATAATGTGATAGAGCTTGGTGTTTGACTGGGAGTTACTCTGTCCGTGGGTAAAAAAACTACCATCTCTGTTTAAAAATAGGAAAAACTTGAGCAGCACACCTTAAAGTTTCCTTATCCAAATACTTTAAACCCCAGCTCTACAGTAGGCTGTGTTTCTTAACAAGTGGTGTTACAAAGAAAAAGCTATGTGAGGATAAACTCCGAAGTATAGATCAGTATGCCATGTGGCTCCTAGTCATACATCTTTTGAAACTGTGAAGAACTCCCATGCAGTGTGATTTGTTTTAAATAATTTCTGTGGCATTTATTCTAAGAATCTGACCTTAAGGTGGGAAACAATGCACTGCAGCTGTAAAGAATGTGTAGAGATTATCACAGCTGTTGTTTTGCCAGAATTGGACATCTACAACTTAATAGACAAATGCTCCTACTCACTTGTCCTTGTAAGTCTGAATTTGGTCTTTGGCTTACGTATGTAGATGGAGTAATCATTTTGGACAGGCTGCCAAACTGAAGGTTAGCACAAAACAATCTTGGAGCAGTGTTCTATTACAATGACTGGCAGATAAGATAATTGGGAAAGGGCAGGAAAGAGGTAAGATAACATGTTAAAACAAGGGCATCTTAATCAAATGAAAATGGAGTGTGTTTTCTCATTTAGCTACAATTATCAATGATGCAATACATGTCTTCTTGAAGCAAATCTTAAGTTTTTCTTTACTTTTCTTCTGTCTCTTTCCCATTAGTGGTGTGAGTTCTATGTGAAAGCTAACAAGATTGTATTGCATGCATGCAGGAGATGGTCCAGGTGATGAGAAGGAGGTGGAAAATCAGAGATTTTTAGAAATATGTTGGATTCTTCACATGTAATACCCTGCACATAGTAATTGCAATTTTAGCAATAACACCAAGATTTATTTCTTTGTCGCATTATGTTAGCTTTAAAATTATATGTGTCTTTAAACATAATAATATAGAATATCTAGCATGACTGATGCTGTTGAATGGGTATCAAGCTTCCCTCTAGAAAGGAACTGAGTGTTCAGATGACTTATTTCTTAATTTGAAACAACTAGAGTCACTGTACCCTGGAGGTGATTGAAGATGACTGAAGTGAAATTGAGATTAAGTGCCTGAGAACAAATGACACTTAAAATGATGTTTTGGAGCACATAAAACACTTTTTGTCGCCTCCGTTTATGAGCTTGGAAAGCAGAATAGCTGCATTTCTTTATCAGTTTTATATCTCTTGATATTATTGTTTCACCATAAAAAGCATCTGAAACTTTCGTTTATCACTTTGATCCTCTATGACCTGAGCTACTTTGTGAAGGGGTAATGGGGAAGAACAGCAAAGTAAATAAGAGCGCAGTCAGCTCTGGCCTGGGTCTACCCTGGTGAACACTTACAGGGTCTTTGATGCTTATTCTTCTAATATGAGTGCTGTAAACACGGCAAAGTGTAGCTAGTGGACACCTTGGATAGAGATGCTGGTGCAGTACTGGGCAGATGGTGGGAAGTGAAGAGATGATGGTTGGATGTGTCTGACCTGTGGCTGAAGGACCAAAGGAGGAACTAAGGAAGCTTCATGAAATAAGAGAGTCTTCTAGGTTTCAGGACTGACTTAGACTTGCATTATAGATAGTATATGAATGTTCTACTTAAGTGTAAGCTACCTTTCTTTTTGAGTACTGGAAGTAACTTAGAGCAGTTATAACATCAAGACAAAACCACCTGAAGTATTTGATTGAAATGCTTTAAAATTAGATTATATTATTGGCTCTATAACTTGCCTGCAAACATGATTTCTTTGTTTAGATCTTCACCTTGCTGCTGAGCTTGGGAAGACACTACTGGACCGTAACACTGAACTAGAAGAATCTTTACAACAAATGTATGCAACAAATCAAGAGCAACTGCAGGAGATAGAGGTAAATATTTAAGGGATCCAAGTGTTAAAGCATCTAGATCCGCAACATAATAGTGCGTAAGTGGAGATCTGAATTTCTTGACATCTGATGGACATTTTAAAGAAAAATACTGAACAACCTTTAACCACTTCTGCTACTTTGAGAATTTGAGGACTTGTACAGGCTTGATCATAGTTAGAACTGTTTGTCTGATTGCTGGAAGCTTTATGCCGTTAAACTTCATGTTGAATTTGGCTTGTTTAGTGAAAAATGGCTAGTATTCTTGTTTTTGTACAGAGAAGTTACTTCAGTTATTTTATTGCTAAACTTTGCTGATCTTGCCAGGTAGAATGACATTAAATTATACAGTAATAAATAAATTAATAATTTAAATTATTATATGAAACTGTAATTGGTTACAGCCCTGAAATTTAAATGCTGATAAGTGCAGGAGAGAGTAAAATCTGAGGATATATACTTCCACTAAACTGAGCTGTGGTAAAGGCAGCTAGAGTCTATTTCAATAAAAAAAAACAAACAGCAAAACCAAACACTTAAATAGTATCTAAATACTGGATGTAGTGGATATACTATAGCTTCTACTGTATCCTTTTCAAAACTGCTCATCTTCGTGTTACTTGGTGGAAAAAAACTGGCCATTTTTGGCAATTTTTTTTTAATATTGCCTGTGTTATTGTAGTTCTTGACTACTTGTCAGTGTAATGCATTTTTTTTAAGCTATTAGAGGGTAATGCATGGTCTCTGTTAATTAAATTACTAAATATTCAGTACTTTGACAACATACTGGAAAGGTAGTCAGCATTTCAGTTTGTCCCTGAATCACAGGGAACAGGCTGTGGCTGGTATACACTAGACTTTTACAAAATCTGTGTTCTTTTTGCAAGCAGTACTTATGCAGTTTTGGACAGCGTGTGAATTTTTTACAGCTGCAACTTAAGACTTAAATCACTGTAGTGGTAACAGGTACCTTAAAGAATCCTAAGCTTAATACTTAGACATATAGGTGTCTTTAATGTAATCACATTAACACAAATGCAGCATTTCTATTAGGTGATGCACAATTTCTGGGTGAGTTTTTTTTTTTTTTAATAAGATACTTCTGTTTTATACCTTATACTTTGGCTCTTTCCTCTATCATGTGCTAAATGTCATCTATGTTATCCTATGCATTCTGTGGTACAACGATTGGAATGGCTGATATTTAGATTAGTGCCACAGCATTAGAAAAATTGTATTTACTTATGTGGAGACTTAAAATAACTGATTGCCATGAATGTTTTTTATAAAAAGATTAATTCTTAAGACCTAGAGAGAACAAACGCTTCAAGGTGTTATACAAATACTGTTCTACTTCCAGTTCAATACCTGTATGAACAACCATGTTTAAGGAAGCATTTAAGACAGTGACAACCCACCTTTTGAAATAACACAGCATAACTTTGCTATAGATAGCTAACCTGGCTTGTTGAGTGTAGCTACTTAATAAGCAGCTGTATTTTCACGCTATCTTGAAATACGGAAAATATATTATTGCTGAGCTGCATTCATTTATAGAAATAGTCTAGTGCCATTAAGGATGTAATATCCTGTTGGTTTAAGCCAGCTTATTTGCTTAAGCCTTTTTGGTGGGTTGGTGTTTACACACCTACACGAGAGAGCTTCAGCACCAGGAAGTGGTCAGAAGTGTCCTTCCAGCAGTGATCTGTAGTTGGTGTGTGGCAGGGTGAAGTACACCTCAGACAGTGACAGACTAACTGATTCTCTCAATATCTGGCTTTGCTTAGCCAATCAAAAAAACAAATCAAGACTTGTGCAATACTACTTTTTCAAGGCCTTATCCGATACCTCTTTCTTCCTCTTTCCTCCTCTCCCCGAACATGGGTAGGAGTGTATATTGGGTTAGCCTATTAGCTCCCTCCAAGAGGAGGGGGAGGGAGGTGAGAGAACAGCTTTTGTGGTGCTTCTGACACAAGTAGTGCCTGCACTTTTATTTGCCCAGCTTACTGTGTTGAGTCAAAGAACATGTAGACTGTATTCGTATCTGCTGTAATAACACGCTGTCTTCTCAGTTCCACCACTTGCCTTAATCTTCTGTCTTTTCCCTGTGCAGTTTAAAAGTGATAGCAACTCAAAGCATTTATTTTTCCAGAGAAATCTCTCTTGCATCTGGATTTCTGGTAGAAAAGGGAAAATCAAATTAATCCCTTCAAATGCCCCGAGAGAACCTCCAGATGGGAGGAACTTAGCTTACTGGCACAAGGGATTGTTAAAGGAATTCACTGAAACAAATGGGGGTAAAGTTAGCATATGCAATGTGCAGTACTTTTTAGCTGGTAAAAGCAGCTTAGTTTTTCATTTTCATACCTATATTTCTGTCTTCTATAGCAACGCAGGATATCCCACTACACAGGCTACGTGTGCAAGTGGCATATCCGGTCTCTCTGCTTGATATTTCTAGTTTTCAAGTGCTTGTCTCTAACCTAAAGATATTTCAGCTGTTACTGTAGCTACTCTGCCGCATTTTTTAGTAGCTTTTTCAGTGCAGTATATCAGTGTAAATCTTTGGGGTTTTTTTTTCCTATTAATTTACATTTTATGGGTAGCAAAGTCTAGACCTGGCTAAGAAATCATTCTGAAATATGGTACTACCTTGTCTGCACTGAAAAGGAGGGGTCAAAGGCTTTAGGATACTTAAGATTACATCTAATATATTAAACGCTAACATATTAAGCATTTTATAGCCTTGGATCATTATATCTGACCTCTGTGCTGATACATGTGCCACTAAATAATCATTGTAGATGTAATAAATGCTGGATTGAAAAGGCAACTTTATTCCTGTCTGAGTCTCTTCTCAGCACTCAGACTTCAGAACTACTGACTCTTATCTTGTGGTAGAATGCAAGAAGTCTCAACTGCTTTTTCATGTTAGGTGCTCAGTTGCAGGGGAGGTAGAGTAAATGTGAACTTCTAAAGTATTTATTACCACATCTATACTTTGTTTTGGTGGCCTGGTTATACCAGGCCAATTTTACACCAGCACTGAAGAGATTGGAGACTCAAGGTGGTGCTTCAGCTCTCCCATTCGTCTAAAACTTCTGCAAAAGCCCCTTGTAATCAGTGGCAACATCTAATTCTGGCATCAAAGCCTTGGCTTCTGTGCTTAGCCATGATTGTATTGCTGAAGAAAGTCTGAAGATCTCCAGCTCCTTCCGAGAATAACCAATAGGGAAAGTTAATCTGAAGAGGGTCACATTGAGATTCTGCTGCTAATCTGTGTACTATTTTTGTGTAAATCCTCTGTCATGTGCACACAGGCTACAAAAGAATCTAGCCAACTGCTATCAAGTTGATCTTCTAGAAGTCTGTATGTAGCAGTTACTAGTCCTAGATTAACTTATTATCTGTTCTTAAGTTGCCTAAAATGTAAACCCACCAATCTTTTAATGAGGTAAAAGGTTAAGTAGAATATTAGAAGTTTTGAGTATGTAACAAGCCTATGTAAAGAGAAGTAATTCTGCCTAGAAGGCTGTTGGATGTTCCTACTTGAAGTTTACTTTTCAGTAGCATGTAGTAATACAGAATATATTGCAAGAAATAAATTCTATGTAAGAACTAAGTATTTCAGATTTAAAGGGTTAGTTTTCTTGTTCCAGTCTGTCTGATGCAAATTCTCATGTAGATTTTTAGAACTGAATCAGTCCTATCCTGGGTGGGACAATATAAGACACCTGTATTAAGAGCCTTAGGTGATTGTTAACTGCTCTTAGACTGAGAATTCTAAGCTTTCTAACATTACTCAAGAGCCTTAATGGTCTATATTGTTGATTGTAAAACTAAAGAGGATTAAAATGAGAATACTTGATATGGAGCTTTATTTTTTAAAAAGGCAGGAGACCTTTGTTTGAAATTACAGTAACTGGAATAATTCCCTGTGAGTAATTAAAGATGGAATTCAATAATTTGATGATACTCCTGACACATAGTAGGCCACAGACTGTTCTGCTGAACCTGATGCTGCTTCAGACTGGAAAAACTTAGTTCAGCTGAAAAGAAATTTAATGGTGGATGGTGCAAATTTCTGTTGGAGCACGCTGCAACTTTTAGAAGGACTCAGTGGATAGTTAAGGGCTATGTTGAAGTCTGGATTCAAGGCTCTATCAGTGATGACTGCCATACAGAGAAACCCAATCCAGAAGGCTTGGGTACTGGCAAAAGCCTACCTGCAGCAAGGATAGATAAACACAGCTTGCACGATGAAACCCAATTCCTGGATAAAGGGCTGGTTGATCGGCATGGGTTGACCTCCTTGACAAAGGCAAGCTGGGTAGCTGAGTTACTGATGGTGCCTTTTCAACTGAACACTTACCAAAGCCACTACTGGAATCTACCTTTCTGAAATTTTGTAGTTTTTCTATGAATGTGAATAAAAATGCAGAATGGTAGTCCTGTCTTTGTTTCGAGTGTAAGCTAGTAACAGCAATATTATCTTGCAGTACCTCACAAAGCAAGTGGAGCTCTTGCGTCAGATGAATGATCAGCATGCGAAAGTCTATGAACAGCTGGATGTGACAGCAAGAGAACTTGAAGACACTAATCAAAAACTAGTGGCGGAGAGCAGGGCTTCACAACAAAAGATATTAAGGTAACAAACTTTTACTAGATCCCCCCACCCACCCCCAGTTGATAATACAAAAAAGAGCAGTCCAAGTGTATTCGTGTAGTTATTGGGTGGCTGTCTCTGTCTAGTGGTGTTTGACAATACTGTTAAATTGAAAGGATGGTTTTTATTTAAAGGTCTTTTGGGGCCAAAGAGCAGCTTTCAGAGAAGAAACTACAATATGAGGGGATGGGAAACTCTCATGTCCTTGACTAAATGCTGAAATGTTTTAACAGCAGTCCTTCAACTTTTAGCTTGACAGAGACTATTGAAAATCTGCAAACACACATAGATGACCTGCAGCAACAAGTAGAAGAATTGAAAACGTCTGGACGAGGCCGGATGAACCATGAGAGATCTGACCAGCCAAGATCAATGCACAGTTTTTCATGTTTGAAGGAGCTGTATGACCTTCGCCAGTAAGACTTTTGACCTTGCATAGCAAAGAGAATACAAGTTATTTTAAGCAGAGCTTTAAAAACTAAGATACAAGCATAGATGCCAAACAAGCTAGCAGAAGAACATCTAATGTTCACAACTAGGACAGTATCTGCACAGTCCTGCACCATGTGGTGTTGCCACTGCTTCTGGCATACTTCTAGACCACACTACTCTTTGTGTGAGAGGAGTTGTGGGTTCCACTTTCTGTCTTGAAAGATTTTCTCCCAACCAAGTCTCCAGCCATACCAAATTGTAGCTTAGAAAGCTTACAGCAGTTCGTACCCTGCTTTTTTCAGTCAGATAAAAACAAACACAAAGTAATCTGAAAACAAACATCCTAAATGCAAAGTATTTTCTGTAACTTAACATTTCCTTGGATGTCTGTGGATAATTTCTTTTCAAGGCAGGCAGGATCCCTGCAATAGCTTTCCTGAAGTTACGCTGGTTAAAATGATGCTTAAGCTGGTAAAATGGTGCCTGGAGCTCTGGGCTGCTTTTTGAATTTAGAGCAGTTTTACACAGCTGAGTTGCAATAGTATGCCCATCAGGCCAATCACCTGGGGTAAAAGCTCAAACTAGCTTCAGTCCTAAAGGTCATTTCATAACTGAAGCACCTGCACAGACAGGCAGAACAGGCTTTTGTGTTTGGGCTTCAGCAGTACATTGAGGTAGGGCTGTAGAGTAAATCTGTACATCCAAAAAGAAGTTATTTCTTGACAATTCAAAACATAAGTGGATTCCTTCAAACTGCTAAAGGCTTGTGGAAATACCAGCCTACAGAACTGCTTTGTCAATTTTGAAGCTTGTTTCCACAGTCGGTAGCAATAAAAGTTACAAGGGTGGGGTGCTGTGGAAAATATCTGTGTCAGAAAGTATTGCATGATACATGGAGGCAATGTTTATTTAAACTTAAATTGTAGGTCTAGTTACTCAATAAGCTTGTCTATAACTTGAAACTGTTAACGAGCTGCCATTCTGCTTAAGCTGGGAGGCTTGACTTGATGGCATGTAAGTATTTACAAACTCTGTTCTGATTATGAAATAGACTGATAGGTTAGTAAAATGACCGCTATGTACACTTTGAGGTGTGTTTAAATCTGTCATTAGTTACCCAGGACAGGAAAACTTGAGGAGGTGTGGTCAGCTGTACTTCCTATGTTTGACAATACTTCCTTTTGTTTCTGCAGGTATTTTGTTTATGATCATGTGTTTGCAGAAAAGATTACTTCGATGGATAATCAGTTAAGTCCTCTAGAAGAAGAAAATGAGAACTTAAAAAAGGCAGTTACAGTTCTGCAAGCCCAACTTAACCTGGAAAAAGAGAAAAGGGTAACAATGGAAGAGGAATACAGTCTTATGGTAAAAGAAAACTGTGACCTTGAACAGAGGCTTGTTGATATAGACTTATATCGGGCTCGTGCAGAGGAGTTGGAAGTGGAAGTAGCTGAAATGCGACAAATACTTCAGTCTGAAAACACATGCCATAATGCAGAGAAATTGGTGCCAGAATCATTTTTCATTTCATTCAAGGAATCTTTAGAAAGGGAGCTTGGTCAGAGCCTGGCAGATGATGGACTTCTGACTGTATCGGAGCTTGAGAAGAAGGCACTGAAACGGAGCAGCAGTGAAACTTTCCTAAGCAGTGCTGCAGGGGGAGACATTCTAAGGGGCCATGAAGAAACATGTATTAGGAGGGCTGAAGCTGTGAAGCAGCGAGGAATCTCTGTACTTAATGAAGTTGATGCTCAGTATAATGCTCTGAAAGTGAAGTACGAGGAACTTTTGAAGAAGTGTCAAATGGATGAAGATTCTTTGAAACACAAGGCCGTACAAACGCTGAAGCAGTATTCTAAAGACCTAAATATGGGGCATACCCAGTATGATCTTTCTGCTAGCAATCAAGAATTCATAACTGTGGAGCTAAGTGACTCGCCCACAAATGCTCTTCCTGAATATAAGGCACTCTTCAAGGAAATTTTTAGCTGTATCAGAAAAACAAAGGAAGAAATAGATGAACACAGAGCTAAGTACAAGTCCCTCTCCTCTCAGCCATAACACTGGACATGCTGCTGACCTGTTTTCTGCTGATGACTAAGCTGTTAGTTGAGAAGGGGAAAAACTTTATACAAATGTCAGAAGACCCCTTATACTGATGTATTTCTTGAGCACTCAAAATGAATGTTTTGAATTGGCTTATAGACCTGTAGTGAACAAGCTAGTTAGTTAACAGCTAGTCTCCCTGTATCCATGTAGCAGTAGATTTAATGTTCTTTAGCACTGTTACACAAACTAGTGGTTGTAAAGCAAACAAGCATCATAGCTTAATAACACACTATGACTTAATCTCTGGCCAAAGCAGTAACTGACACTAGTTTCCTTAGTCCACTTCAAAAATAACAGAGCTAAGTAATCTGCACCGTGCTTCTCACAAGGAACCAGACTAAGGCTTTCTTTTGGTCAGCAGTGATGATCTAACCCTGTAACTACATCTGTGTAGAAAATTAACAGAAACAATGCCCCTGACCAGTATCATGGGCAGCCTCTCCTTGATTCTTGAGAATGAAGTTAGCAGTCGAGCTGAACTTGCTTTGGCAGGGAGGTGGAGAGCTGGCACGGCAGCCTGCACTGTGCTTGGTTTAAGCTAATACCACGTTTTCACATGCACTAAGCACTCACACAGATTAGTGTAAATGTCTTCCTGCTAAGAAAGGATTTGATGTAAAGTTTGCATGGCTCTTGAGGTATGGTTTCTTATGTAGGGCACTTTGTCGTAAGGCAAGATACTGTGAATTCATTACGTATGTTATTTGGGACCTACTGTTCTTTGGTGGAATGTTGCAAAGTACATTTTTTATGTGTATTTGTTAAGATAGAAAGTTGCAATGTAGCTATTTAACTTTAGTAGTAGCATTGATGTAGTGGAATAGCTTTTAATCTTACACACCACAAACTCCAAGTGCTTGAAGGAGACAGGGCAGGTAAAAACTTATCACATTGTTTTGTCTGTTGCTTTCCATGTCAGCCTTTGTGGACCTATTCCATGCTGTCTGGGGGGGGTCGGAGGAGGGACACAAGGCTGCCAGACCATAGCCTACGGAAAACAGGGGACCACGCTCTTGTTCTTCCTCTCCTTCTCCACTCTCTAATAATAATGCAGATGTATTCCAGTTCTGAAAAACAAAGAACATGGAGAAGTATGTTCTTTAAAACTGCTTCAAAGTGTGAGGGAAAACAAAGGCTAAGAGATTAAGGGGAGGGGGGAAGGCACAATGAAAGGTTACATCCTTCTCCTCATAAAGGGTCTCAGTGTTAATTTGGTCAGTTGTTCTTGGCAGTCAACTTACTGCTTGTCTGAGTTGCTGTGATACCAAACAGTCGACACAGAATGTTGACAGTTCCTCAGCTTTAGTTCAACTGCTGCTGTTGCAGTTCTGCCTATGTTGTACCCTGTTAAGCTTGTGTATAGCTGTCTTTCAGTTGCAGTATTGACTTCATATTGTGGGATTTTCTCTAAAACGTGTGTTGCATTCTGGAAAATTATTTAAAAATGGGAATCTGAATCTTGTGAGTATTTTTCTAAGGAAATAAATAATCCAGTCAAGCTACATGTGTAAGTAGTAATTATGGCCATCTGTGCCAATCAGTAAACTTGGTGCAGATGGCACCTGCAGTATCTAGTCTTGCCATCTTTCCTACATAGCTTAGATAGCGTTTCCATTAAATTTGTATTTTAAAAAGGTTATGCTATATGGAAAAGGATAGGCCTGTCTGGGGTAGAAATCCCAGTGGTGTTTGTCAGTGCTGTTCAAAAAGGCAGCAGGGGAGAGGAAGGCAGAAAAGCTGCTGTTCTGCCATGGGGTTACCTGCACTGCCACTGTTTCCCTAATGTTCACATCCTCATCACCTGGGGGTCTGCCCCAATTCAGATACTGGAAAGCAGTGGCCTTAAATAAGAAAGGCATGACACTTAGTCACAAATGATTTACTACTAATATTCCTCACCACTTTAGGGGAAGGGGGATCCACACCTGCTGGGCCAGAAGACATGTAAAAGCAATTCAGAATTTTTGGTTAAATAGGCAATATTCTGCAGTTTATTACTGTTGGCTAATTTAGAGCACTTCGTATCTATACAATTTTTATGCTTTAAATTTCCAAGAAACTACTTGATTCTTCTGTAGTGTAACTTCCCCTTGGCTACCTGTGCCATTGCTAAGCTCTGGCTGTTCTGTACAATAAAAAAACCTCCAAGGCTGGGTTCTTCTTCCGTAACTTCTCTCAGACTGTGGCTTTCCCAGAGAGATGCTTTACAGATGCAGCTAGAGGTAATGCTGCAGCACAGGGCTGCTCTAGGGAAGTGTCAGCCATGGGTGCAACGCAGCAGACCATGACAAAGGCTGCAAAAGCTGCCTGAACTTAAAACACCTCTCAGTTACACTGCTGTGGTTAATAAACTACACTAGACTATTAAGGTAGAGTTTTAGCAGTTTAAAAATAGATATTCTCCACAGAAACGTGAAATGCTGTAAGTATGGTAACAATATTCTTAGCCAATCTTATCTGGATTAATTACCTTAATCTGCTTATTTTAGTCAACAACTCAACTCAGTCTTTTCGGAGCGTAAGTAGATGAAATAGAATCTCCTTGAGCTTCTCATGTGATGGAAATTATAGCAAAGAACATGACCAGTAAAGTAACCGTGTTCTACAATGCTTACAGGACATTGCTGTAAGATAACTCATTGCAGTTGGGCTTCAATGGTAAACCTGTAACAAAAAGATCAGTTACTGTACCCTTAGCTTGACAGCCACTGCTCAGGACCCCTAAAGACCAGGATGTGAAGCAGTTCAAGAGGCAGTTTACTTTCTACCTCTAACCCCCGCTAAAACATTCCTGACCTTTACTTCCTCTGTAAGCCTTCAGGCTATAAAAGGAGCGGGTGCCGCTTCCATTTCTTCTTGGACAAATACAAGGCGGGGTAGAATTGACCTTCGAGATAGACAGAATTTTATTTTAAAAAAATTACACAAAATAGAGGTTTTACATTGTTGCCATGTGATAACTACAGCTGGATGCCTTCCAGAGGGTGCACTCGGTTACTTACCTTGTTGTATTTGCATACACCCCTCAAACAAAACCCACACCAATAAAAGAAATCCAGTAGTTGTTCCACACGTTTCAAATGTAGGTGCTTTTCCAAATAACTCATTTCACAGACAAAGGTGAGAACAACCACTATGTAGTACAGAGTTCAAAGACAGTGATTTTGTTCCCCACTCCCTGGCCTGACATTTCCATGACCATGACGATCTTCTCTAAAGTGGGCTACAAGGGCTATTACAATGCTCAGACTAAAGCATGAGCATCTAGGTATTTAACAAAAACTGGGATGTTTGTAAACAAATTAATTTATTGGCATTACTTACAAAATAAAGTATTAGACCATGATTTTCCATCATGTCTGTGTCAGTATATGGTTTTATTTTTTTTTTGTAACAAAACAGAATGAGAATTGAAATACATTAGAAATCCCAGATTAATTAAGCTGCAGACAGGGTCCCACGTTATCTTCCTAGTTGCTCTTGTGCCTAGGCGGCCGTGCAAACACGTGTGAGTGTGTTGGGATGTCAATGACTGCAATGCCCACATGCCCCAAAGTAGGTCAGATCCTGCCCCACACTCCCGAGGCCATGGCGTTTGTCTGTGCCGCCTGCTGCAGGTTTTCTCTTTCATCCTGGAGATCACTTGAAACTGCTACTGCTGCTGTCAAGACTGCACCGTCCCCTTAAGATACCACATTCCGCCATAGCTCACACAGCAGTCCTGGGGAGAAAGGGAAAGTCTGTAAGGTTTTGGGACCCACTGTCTGGCTTTGGGACAATATATGTCATCAGCAACAGAAGTCCCCTCTCCAGTGCACAAGGGAGAGCACAAATCCAGAGCAGCGGGTTATCGCCACCCTGAAGACCATATAGCTTGAACGAAGACAATAAACAGAAGCGGGTGAAGGTTGAGAGGCCACACAGAAGACAAACAATGCAATGGCAGCAAGAAACTGGGCTTTTTAGGGGAGAAGATGGGGATCATGCAGAAGCCAGCTCGGGAAAGGTGGTGGTGAGGGGTGAGGACAAGGGGAACTGAGGGGTAAACACAGCCTGAAGCTCAGGTGGAGAGTCTGAAGGGAGCAGTGGGAAAGGGCTGGAGTGTGAAGGCAGTCACAAGAAACAATGTTCTGTGACAATGAACTGTCAAACCTCAGTGCTTTGGTATTCTGACCAGACGTCTGCTAAGCACCACAGCAAAGGAATTCAGTAAGTGGGTTTTCTTGTGGCTTATTCTCTTATTTCTATTAGATGAGCACCCAGTCTCTCAAGTTCTAAGCTAAGGGCTTCTCTTTTCTTTTTACTCCCACCCTCCCATTTAGGTAATTCAACACAGGCTTAAATACTGCTACAGAACTGGATGCTGTGGAGCTTAAAGGGAAAAACGTTGTGGGTTTGTTTTTTTTTTCCCCCCTCAAGTCTTGGGACTCACAGATCACAAAAACAAATAAGAAATTAAGTGTGGAGGCTAGAAAGAGGGTTTGCAGACTTGATCTGCAGATGCAAAAATACAAACCCTGTGTCTGTTTCTCTGTGTATAAAAAAGGAGCACACGCAGATGGGGAAATAGGAGTCAACAAATCCAATTTCATCCAAAGAGGAATCCAATCTCTTGTGGCTTAAAGAAGCCAGAGAATCTTCCTATTTCATTAAATCATACTTCTAAATTTTACTTCAGAAACAAAGATAATGTCACATACTTCTATGACAAAGGCATTCAAGGGAAAGAAAAGCCTGACACAACACAAGGCTGATGGCACGATGACTTAGTGACTTACATAAAAACAGTACCCAGTTTTTTAGGAGAAGGTGTTTTTTCTAGAAATAGATTATCTGTTAAATAGCAACAGCATCATGATAAACTAATACCAGTACATGGTCTAGCTATTCCAGGAGAGCTGATGCTTGAGCTCATCCAGTCGCCTGACAGATCTCCCAGCACAGGCAAGCCACGTGAAATACTGTCTAGCATGCAGAAATGTCTGAGCTTATTTTAACGCTAAGGCAACCAGGTTCTTTCAAGCAAGACCAGTTTGCTTATTATCACAGCAACAGATCTGTAGTTTTTCAAATATGCTGTTATTTCGTTTCCAGGTCCCAATGTAATGAAGTACTTCAGCACTTGTCTTATTTAAGTGGGTGACAGTAAGCAAAGGCCCACCAACAGTGATTAAAGTATTACATTAGTTGG